TTACAGGGTGACAACAAGTTTTTAATAATAATAATAATAATAAATCACTAATAATAAAATGTGAACCAGTGACATCTGTGTACAGGATTTTTTGGTTTCTGAAGATGAAAAGAAATGTTTTTTAAAGACAAAATGGTTCCGTAATGAATCTTTTTTTGTTCTTTTTCAGTTTTGTTTTCAATTCAGTTTAATTCCCAGAGTAGGTTTGATTGTTTCAGTTGAGTTTTTATTGTTTAGAAATGTTATTTGTCAGGGGCAAGATGTAAAAAGTTCAGAACAGGTATTACACTACAAATACATTGACTCACAGTCATGTAGACATCCCCAGCCTCAATAAACACATGCACCAATCCCTCCTTATGCTTGTTGACAGATTTGATCACATTGACAAAAACTAAATTAAGACATTTCCTGTATATTTTTATTTTGTTGTAGTAGGTTTTGTAAGTACACAATATATTTTAGTTCATTTCAATTTCAGTTTATTCTAGTCTAACTAACTCTAGTCTCTCTAACAAAAATGTTTTTTCCCACCTAGTTTTAGTTTTTAGTTTGGTTAACTATAATAACCTTGGTTTGGATGCAACATAATGACTTCCATTGTGGTATAACAGTAAACAAATTAGTGTGAGAGTACCTCTGCTGCCAAAATGTTCTAATAAGACACAGATGCCAACAATTACCACAGACACACAACCACCTTGGTTGACCAGACCTCAGCTCAAACAAACCCCAAATGAACTCACCGTTAATCTCATCCTGAGACTTCACCCCCCGTCTGTTGCGTCTTCTGAAGAAGTTTGAGGCATCGGCCTCCTTCATGAAGATCTTCTTCAGCGGACCTGCAGTGGAAGCAGGAGGAATTTCAGCTCACAACATAAAGGGAAAAAGAGAGAGGATGTGGAAGAAATGCAGCTGACGCAGCTCCTCACCTTGTGGGTCTTTAGCGCTGCCTGTGCTGCTGGGCACAGCTGCAGAGTCAGCCTCTGGAGACACTGGGTCAGAGGACAAAACATGAAGGCTTTAAATTAGAACACAAAATCTAGGCTTGCATGCTTACCGCTCCATGAAATACAAAGAAAACAAACTGCTATCATCAGTCTGTACCCTCCACAGATATCCAAATATAAATTCTCCTGCATCAGACTCACAGGAAAGTGCAAGAAGCACACCCAGGAGAGCCAGGAGGGTTGCATACGTCCAGGACATCTTTATCTCTGTGTCTGGGTCGTTGAGGGACACGAGTAGTGAGGCAGACCAAGAGGGAGAGGTGAGTAAGACGTATGTAACAAGTAGGGTGGGAGTCTGGAGGAATATTGACTGCTTGTCAGAGGAGAGGGAGGGAGTGAGCATGCAGATCTGATAAGAGGCTGTATCCAACAAACAGCAGAGCGGGTGACAGGAAGGTGCTGAGGATTTAATTTAGACATGATCGAATTACTTATTTTTCAGTAATTGAACTTCAATTAGTATAATGGGCCTGTGAGGGCCTATTCCTTTAGTCACAGAATGACAACTCACAGGGTTCACCATAAAAATCACACTACAGGCTGAATATGCACCACTTGGCTTGTTAATACCTACACTTGCAATAGAAAAGATGGATGACTGACAACAAAAACACTCGTTCCTGGAAAAAAGTGACAGAAAACAAACGAGGCCCAGAGCTGGAGCAGGTTTTTTTCTTGCCAATTGTCTCCTTTGCAGATGCAGCTGAATGAGGCCCCTTAACAAGGCTGCACTCTCTCTGCTTCTGCATAAAGTCGTGCCGGAAAGTATGCAGCCTTCTGTTTGCTATAGTTTTTTTTCCCACCTGAATTCTGGCTGTGCCCCAGAAAAGACTGAATGTTTAAATTGTTTTGTGGGGCAATCCGAGGTGGAGAGATTGTTGCTCAGGGAAGTGAGAGGAAATTAGAGGGAGGGTTTCAGAATATGTGGAGTAAGTTTGCTCAGGTAAGTATGTGAGAGGAGGAAAATCTAATTTGCACCAAGTGAATACCATACTTATTAGTGACATTAACTCGTCTGAGTTTTGAATTCATGGTGAGATACTGCTCTGAATATACACTGTACAGTAGTGCCTTTTAATATATTGCACATGAGTGGTGCAAGTCAGTAGATGAGACAATGTTAAATGCTGAACAGTAAGTGGAAGAAGTGACTACTTAACTGTACATATAATATATTCATGCTCACAGTTAGGGATAGATAACAATATAGCTTATATACTATACCTGTACACATATACAGAAGTATAAAGAGGAATAAAATAGCATAGCTCAAATGTAGATTCAGATTTAACAACATTCTCTATTTACTGCAAGACACAAGATGTTGTTATTATCAATTAATCTGTGGATTGTTAGTTTTTTGGTCCATAAAATGACAGAAAATAGTGAAAAACTGTTGATCTCTGTTTTCCAAAGCCCAAGGTAACATCCTCAAATGTCTTGTTTTGTCCAGAACCCAAAGATATTCAGTTTATTGTCATATGGAGGACTAAATCATTATTATTAATTAAATAATTATTAATAAATTTGAGAAGCTGAAATCAGATAATTATTTCCTTCAAAAATGACTCAAAATGATTAACTGATGAGCAAAATAGTTGCATATTCATTTGATAGTTGACAACTAATCAATTAATTGACTAATTCTTGCAGCTCTAGTATGATTGTGGATAAATTCAAAAAATACTTTAAAGGTGCATCTTGCTTAGACAAAGTTATAGTTTATTCTTCACACATCACTTTTATCTGAACACTTGACTTGGTTTCCTGTCGTACAGAGAGGGCAGGGGGAGATGTCCTAGGGGTATCTAGCCCCAAAACATGAGTTTTTCACATTTCTTTAATCATCAGAAAATCTATTTTACATTTAGTTTCAAACTAATGAATGGTTCCTGTTTTTTTTCTTTCTGTCTGTCAAAATATACAGATCTTTAAAAATAGAAAAGGAAGAATTTTATCAACTTTCCTCAAAATCTGTTGCGCAAAATCCCAAAATAGAAGCAAATAAGATGTAAATTCACAAAGGGCAGTCTGACACATAAATATAAACCTAATAGCAGTGGTGAAATAAGTATTCAAGGTATTTTATCAGTAAAAGTATCAAAAGTAAAAGTATCTTCTTCTGCAGAAAAATGGTCCCAGTCAGTGTTTTGCATTAATATTACTGCTTCATTAATGTGTATGTTGCATTTTACTGCTGTGGATGTTTAAGGCTGAGTTCACAGCAGTGTAATTATATTACACAGCTTTATTTTCAGCTTTGTGACAATGCATTTTTCTGCTAATCCAAGAGGGTTTTTAAATAGTTTATTAATTTTAAGAAGTATGAGAATTTTCCAAACCCATAAAGGAACACTTAATCATTCAGTTTATCAGAAAAAAAAAATCTAATTTAAAATCCCTAAATTTGGAGATACATGGTTTTCACAGGAAAGGAAGTATAACTATAGCTCAGACAAATGTGGGGGAGAAAAATCTGGGATAATTATCATGGATGATAAATGATCCCAAGATAATGAGAAATGTATATTTATTTATTTATTTATTTATATATATATAAATGATCCTGATAATTAAATAAAAATGATAAATGATTAGTACATTTTAAATTCTTATGCAAAACCAGACGCTGTATGCTTTGTGAAAGAAGAAGAAAAAGTTTGTGTTTGTTTGAGTTTTTTTATGCACTTTACTAGAACAAATCAAATAAATAAACATTTAAGAACTTAAGATTTAGGTCGGAGCTATGCGATATTAAATCATCCATCTTTGCTCACTACACCTTAGCCTTTCTTACCCTTAAGTCTGTCAAAACTAAAGGTTATAAACTCCTTTTTAAAATATGAAAATGTGAAATGTTGCTATTGGTATCAGCCATGAGCAGCAGGTAATTATCAGCTATCATATGCTGAAAAAAAAAACATATTACAGACTACAGCGGACAGTCAGGACTGCAGAGAGGATCATTGGTGCCAATATGCCCTCTTTTCAGGACCTTTACCTGTCCAGAGTCAGGAA